AAAAAAAAAAAAAATCAAAGCCCACATGAAAATCTATAACCTAGAAATTAGGAAAGAGAAAATGTCCCAGTTTCAACTGCCACTATCACAAAAATGTGCACTAACAGCTTGAGAGATTCTAGTACACAGACTTTGTAGGGGAGGGGATTAGGGAAACCTCACGTTGCTATATAAATTTAAAAATCCAGGTTTTCTACATCTTCCAAAAACATGCTTCATAATGAGACTCCTTCAGAAAATACAGTCAACCTACAGACTATGAAATAACCTTTGAGGCAACCATCTAAATGTTGAGCATCTGAAACATGTAATAGTGTGTTTCTCTGTCTCTCTGACTGGTCAAATCTGCCTTGAAATAGTGAAAGGTCCATTAGTACTAGATCTTTTTAGTATCTTTTGTATTCTGAGTTTGTTAGGGGATTTTGTTGAGCAGCACTGTTTTTTGGAAGGCTATTTTGCCTCTTCCTGAGAACTGAACCTAAATAGGGGATTGATGCTGCCCCAGGCTATAAAAGACCAGTTGCCAGTGACTTGGAAGAGAACTAAAAGGAGCTTATGAGGGGAGTTTGAGGTAGTTCAGTTTCAGGTTTTGTTTTTTTGTGGTGCTTTTCCTCCCTGTTTCCTTTCTTTTACTTTGCTACAAGGGTCTTGTTTCCCCAAGGGTTTACCACCTTTTTTTTTTAATAAAAAGTGGTGGGGGTGGAGCAGAGGGTGACAGCTCTAGCATCCATGGAGGAATTTTCAAGACTGGGGAAGTGAGGATGACTGTAATTAGTGGGATGTATATCATCTTTGGGGTTGCTCTGTAATGTCAGCTACATGTGCATGAAGTGTTGCCTGATGGTGCTTATGGAGAAGTTGATAATCAAGGGGCTGGTAATACAGCTATCAACAATAGTGGAGTTCAGGCAGGATTCTAAGTAGGTGATGGAAGAAAGCGGAGGCGAGACCTGCACATACAGATGAGAGGTCTCTGAAGCCTAGCAAGAAGGATGATTTTTGATGGACACATCAGAAGAGGGAAACCCTTAGGAACAGGTGACTGAGACGTCAGTACAAAAGAGTGCAAGGGTTAACATCCTTTTGCTGGCGTAGGCTGGAGCTTGCAACCCAGTCCTAGTTGTTGGCCAGAAGTCTACATCCCTGTGGAGCAGGCAGCTGCCTGCACTCTGCTGCAGATTCCTGACCCTTGTACAATGAGGGAAGCACAGATACAGCAGAGCAGTAGACTTTGCAGTGAAGGGCCTGCATGGCATGGTACATCTGTCCCCAGGCTGAATCAGACATCTTTTATAGGCCTGATTTACCCTATGTGCCATACATAGGTTGCTGACCCCTGACTGAGCAGGGTGAAACAACCAATTTATAATCGCTATATAATGAGAGATGAAGAGGAGAAATGCTTAAGATCTAATGATATGATGGCATAACAGTAAAGAACAGCCAATTCCAGTCAAGGGGAAGAGAGAATGAAGCTTAAAGGTGACCTCATTTCAGAAAGAATGAAAGAAGCATCAAGCTAGATCAAAAGTCATGATTAACTGACAAAAGGAGTGAAAGGAAAAAGATCTGAGATGTAGACACCAGGAAAAGACAGGTTTGTATTATTGGGGATTGAATCCTAAAAGGGGCTGACAAACCAGCTACAGGGGATGACCCAGGAAGCAGGAAGATGTGTTGTCTGCCAGGAATAAACTCATGAGACAGGCTGAAGAGGACTCCTATGAGAACAGGGAACAATACATTAATTAATCACTTTTCATGGAGGTACAAATTATATGACCACATAATCTGTGACAAGAATAAGGACAGCTGTATTAGGCTGAGGAAGGTACTTCAAGAACTAGAAGCTCAGTTGATCCTCAGCTGTTTAATTTCCTGTCCCAAGAGAAAAAGGGAATAAGCAGGACAAGATAACTGAAGATGTATAGCCCAAGGAGGTATGACCACTGTCCAGCACTTGTAGCTAAAGGACTTTTATCTTCTAGAGATGGGTTCCATTTGAAGGGAGGAATAAGCAAGGTAAGAGGGGGTGGCCCAGAAGGAAAGGACACTAAGGCATAGAAAGACAGTGGAGGGCCAGGCAATGACTTTATTGTATTTACTTCAGTATAAGATGACTCCCTCCCCCCCCCCCCCTTTTTTTGATATAGGAAACTATATCAAAAGTCAAGGTATGTCGCATCCACTGCTCTCCCCACATCCACGGCCTGTCATTTCATCACAGAAGGCAATCATGATTTCACCTTGGTAAATCCATGCTGGCTTTTGCTGATCACCACCTTCTTCTGCGAGTGTTTAGAAATGGATTCCTTGAGGACCTGCTCCGTAATTTTTTCCAGGGAATGTAGCCAGTCTGTAGCTGATGGGTCTGTAGTTTCCCATATCCTCCTTCTTCCATTTCTTAAAGATGGACACTATATTTGCTCTTTTCCAATCATCTGGGACCCCTCCCAGTCAACATCTGTTTTCAGCAATAATGGCCAGCAGCTCTATCGCACCAGCCAACTCCCTCAGCACCGTTGGGTGCATTGTGTCCACGTGGACTTGTACACATCCATCTTTTCTAAATAGTTCCTAACCTGTTTGTAGGAGGTGAGCACTGTTGGCTGCTCAGCTCCTCCCCAAGCTGTGCTGCCAGGTGCAGTAGTCTAGGAGCTGATCTTGCCTGTTAAGACTGTGGTGAAAACGGCAGAGTACTCTTCAGCCTTTTCCACATCATCTGTCACTAGATTATCTCCCCTGTTTAGTAAGAGACCCTAACATAGTTCCTTACTTAATTGTGAAAACGCTCATGATTTACTATATAGTTCATTGAGCTGGATGCCAGCAGAGTCAGCAGTTTTAAGCCATGGTGACTCCATAGCTCAGCACTGCTCAGTATGTATTTATGTATTCCAGATCCAACCCACCTCTGTGCAAACAAAGGATCCTTGTACTAATTAGCCCTCCACTCGCAACGGGACGCAGGTGTTTTTGTCATGAGTTCTGGGTTCCTCCAAAAATGTATATGCAGTGCAGGGCAATCTGGTCCAGTTTCACCTCATGGAGGGCAGAGCCACAATAATCATTGGTGACAGGCTGAGAGAAGGGCCAGCAGAAGGATTTTAGGTAAATTATTTGGGGGCCTTGTTTCATGATTGCCAGACATTTAAGGCTGGTAAAGAAACGGTAATAATTGGAAATGGGGAAGAAAAGTGCAGCTTAGTTGTGGCAGTGAAGACCTTGAAATGTATTTCCTGCGGTGGCTCGCCATGACTTGAAGACTCAAGGTTGGGGGCAGGGATTGCTCAATGAGCACTACCATATATCTTATTCAGATGGGCTACCCTAATCTATCTTTGTGGTAGATTTCCATCAGCTCGTTTGCCCACTATGGGCCATGTGTTTTAATCATGCTTAGTGTTGGCTGCATTTAATTAACTTCACAGTTGGTTTCTGTTACTGAGCACATGCTACTTTTGGCAGCACTTTAATGATAATGCAGTGTATTTAATGAAGTTTCTTTGTATGTGAATGTAAGATGAGGGGCTTTTTTCTCCATGTTGATTGTGGGGAAAAATAATTTGTCTTGTATTCCAGTAAATACGGTAGCTATGAATGGAAATACTCTCACATTCTAGCTGATTAGGTGCCTGGGCAATAAAATGGAAGAACTGGAATTCGTGATTTTTGGATCCAAAATGAGGCATTATAGTAGCAGTGAGTGTATGGTGGAATCCTAGTTTCAACTGGAATGCAGATATTGAAGGGTGTTGAACTGTTTAGGTAGTTTAGAAATAATAAAGGTGGCAGCAAACACAGGAGAAGCTTTGTCTTGGAGATGCTGTGAGGGGAGAAGAGTAGCTCAGCAATGACTGAGGAGTCTTTTCTGGGAGCTGGTGGTCTGAAGACCAGAAATACTGGAGTTCTGATTTGTGTTGTCTGTGTGTTTGACTTGTCACTATTTTAGGAGTGACTGCTTGGTAGGGTTTGTGCTCACAGCTCTGTGTGGGGTAGTTTTCTTTAAGTGGTTGGTTTGGCTAATTGAGGGGTGGGGCCAGGCAGCCCCTTGCAAACAGAGAGGGAGTTTGCCTGGGGGTTGCTTTTTGCGTGTGCTTCTTGGTTTTCTACAATCTAGATAGCTCCTATAAGAGGCATAAATGGAGACTGAATCGGCAGTTATTTGCCTGGGATGTTTCATGTTTGTGTTCCTCCGAGAGATTCAAGACCATTTCATCTGCACCAAGTGTAAGATTAAGCTGGTGTTCTTCTGGAGGAAAAGATTGAGAGGGT